ATTTGGGGTACACTGCTCCAATATCTGTTGATGTGGAACAGAGAATAACATCTATAATAAATAAATAAATAAATAAATAAATAAATAAATAAAATTTGTCATCAAGAAGCCTCTCCTGCAACAGAATTCCCTTTGGCCATCCTTGTCTCATTTAGCAATACATATAACTTAGTAAGGTACATGCTCCCTTTTGAAATTCCTTCCTGTACAGAGAATGTGTTGTACGTAGGACACACTGGCAGACCATGTGTGCCATCAGAGGCATGCGTATTCTTCTTCTCCCTTGATCCTGGTATGGCATGAACACGGCAGTAAGGCAGACCCAAATGAAAAAGACCACAAGCAATTCATCCTTCAAAAGAGCACACTGGGAATAAGTCTGTGGTAATGGATTCTAAAATTGATTTAGTAAAGTAGTGCTTTGACTTTTAATTTAAAGTGGGAGGACAGAAGAAAGGATACAACTAATTAAAGAATCTAATATGAGGCTTGAAAAAAGGGTGAGAGATTTCGTGGAGAGCAGTGGGAAGCTTTAATCAATGATGATATCTTATTTCACTTGGAAAAAAAAACTCTTAGAAAAGATTTCAAGCTCTCTTCTCGTACCCTCATTTTGTCCACAGAGGGCAGAGTTAAAGTTGTTTTCCTGCCACCTAAAAGATACTCTAGGACTGCACAAGTTTCCTGAAGCATCTTCTTGAGGCTCCCAGGGGCTCTGTTTTCCTCAAAAATCCACTCAGAACCACTTTAGTTCTCTTCTCTAAGGCAACCTATTTCCCTACACAAAAAACCCTGACAGACTGAAGACGGGGAGCCAGCATCTTCATAAGGCAGCCATAACCAACATAGTGTGGCTATGCCAAGACAATCCCTTGGGCACCTCAATTAAGTAACAACATAGGGTCACCTCACAGCAGAAGTAGCTCCCAGGCTGCTGTTGTTGATAACTCCAGTTGGCATCTTATAGAGCACATCATCTGTCAGGTCCTACCATGCTGCTTCCATAACAAATGTGAAGTTACTGCTGACTTAAAACCTTAAGTGCACTGCATTACATGAACAGGTTTTTGTCCACACATGTCCGGCACATGCTCTACACAACACCCATCAATCAGGGCTTTCCAGCATGGGCAGACAGAGCACACATGAGTGCAGGCACCCATACCAGCTTTTGCCTCCTTTCAGCATGATGAAGAGGCTGGCCCTGATTCTCAGATGACCATATGGCTTGACTTCTCCTGGATTATATTGTGGAGTTAAGGCCTAGTTCACGCCTATACTCTCAAGCAGTTGTATATTCCAACAGGAATGTACTTCACTCCTGTACTACTGACACCCCCAACTCACTCTCAAACAGCCAACCAACTTGAATTATTCCCCACTGAACTGGAAGTAAGGAAAGCACAGAAGTGAAGTACTTTACGTCTAAGGGAGCATAAGTGGTCCCACTTTTCAAAAAGGGTAGTAGAGGGGACATGGGGAATTACAGATCTTACGTCCATTCTGGGAAAGACAATGGAAAGGCTCATAATAGCAAGAGATCTAGTAACCCTAGGTAGGGAAGGGAGGTGGGCAGCCACGCAACACAGCTTCTGCAAAAACAGGTCCTGCCAGACGAACCTTGTGGAATTCTGTGACAAGGTTTCGAGGTGCCTCGATGGAGGGGATGTGGTGGATGTGGTCTACCTGGATTTCACCAAGGCCTTCGACAAAGTGCTGCATGATATCCTGGTTGAGAAATTGAGGAGTTTTGGGAGAGGCCAATGCACTGTCCGATGGATCAGGGAATGGTTGCCAGACTGAAAGCAGAGGGTAACTGTTAGTGGGGAAATCATTGGGATGGCAGCTGGTGACGAGCGGGGTCCCCCAGGGCTCTGTCCTGGGGCCAATCCTGTTCCAATCTTTTCATCAATGAACTGAAAGACCAGTCTGATGATCAAATTCACAGATGATACTAAAACGGGGGCAGTGGCCACAATTGAGGAGCAGGTACTCCGGATCCAGAAGGATCTGGACAGATTATGGAAGTGGGCAGTGGACAACAGGATGGCGTTCAATGTGGATAGGTGCAAGGTCTTGCACTTGGGGCATAGGAATGAGTGTCATAAGTACAGGTTAGGGCACAAGTGGCTGGAAAGCAGCACTTGTGAAAGGGATCTCAGGGTACTGGTCAACTGCAGGCTAAACATGAGTCAGCAGTGTGACACAGCGGTCAAGAGGGCGAATGCCACCCTTGGTTGCATAGCCAGAAATGTAGCTTCTAGATCAGGGTCTCAAACTCAACTTACCTGGGGGCCACTGGAAGTAGAGTCTGGGTGAGGCTGGGCCGCATCAGGGATTACACCACCACGGTGGTGGTGGGCCGCTCATCCGGAGGCCGGCCCGGACGCCACCGGCGCTTTGAAGGCCACAGGGTCCCTCCCCCGTGCCCCACCCATCCCAGCAATTGGCCCGCGGGCCGCGAGTTTGAGACCCCTGTTCTAGATCGAGAGAGGTATTACTGCCACTTTATATGACTCTGGTGTGGCCACAACTGGATTATTGTGTTCAGTTCTGGGCTCTTCATTAGAGGAAGGGTATATCCAGGTTGGAATCAGTGCAGCGTAGGGCCACAAGGATGGTAGCTGGATTGCAGGGAAAGCTATATGAGGTGAGGGAACTGGGTTTTTTCAGTCTGGAGAAGAGGAGATTCTGAGAGGATCTGTTGGCGACATATGGGTACATGAGGGGGTGCCACACAGAGGTGGGTAGAGACCTGTTTGCCCCTGCAGAGGAGGGCAGGATGTGTTCCAATGGAGCAAAGCTCAGGGAACCAAGGTTCAATCTGGATGCCAGGAAGAACTTCCTGATGGTCAGGACCCCTAGGGTTTCCATGGGAAGTGATTGAAACCCCATCAGTGAGGGTGTTCAAGGATAGACTGGACATGCACATGGAAGGGTGCAGAGACTAGATGGCCTGGGAGGCCCCTTCTGACTCGCTCTGTTTCTGTTACTAAAGGAAAGCTGCCGATGGGGGAAACTATTTCTATTTAAGTGCAGATGCGAAACTTCCTAACTTGTTGCATTATCTACTCTGCATGTGCCTTAGTGTAGTACAGCCTCTTTGTACCTTTTTGGATTACATTATGGACTGAATTAAGTTAGCTTGTCTGTTTATGGAAAATCCTGCATCTGGATAGTGGAACTGGATGGTGGTTGCCCAGTCTTTTCCTTCAGTGAGAGCCTTAGTAAAGATAAAAGCACTGGAGTTCCCTGCGAAATTCCAAATCAGGGGCAGGGGAAAAGTCACAGACCTATTTTCTTGGACTGAGCCAGAATCAAAAGAAAAGTTGGATGTTTTAAACTTATCTTCACATAAGGAGTTAGCACACAAGCTTGACACATTCCAGCCTTCAAATTAGAAATTAGTTCTGGTGGTGGAATTTTTTTTTATCAGGTCATGGTCAGCTAAGAGTATTTTAGGTGCTTACTCTGGACCCAAGCCGCAGAACATAGATCAGAAACTAACAGTTTAAGCCAAGCTGTGGACAGGCTGCTGGTGGTGGGAGGAATGGGGACAGAAGTGGCTGCAGCATAAACTGGTGAAAGGTTTTTGCTGAAATCTAGGATGAAGGTTGATACAGTCGCTTTTATCAAGTTGAAAAAGCAATTACCCTGAAGGTCACATGGTCTCAGAAATGTGAAGTTCTGCTGTGGCTTACAGTTATTTTATTCACTATGGTTTTCTAACTGGATTATGATTTGATCAGAATTTGACCAAACAACACTTTTCTATATCTGGATGCCTCTCTGAACGCTTCTGCAGACTCTTGCCAGGAGCAATAAGCTTTCAATTTAAGGGGTTGATTGGTGTGTTCTCTTTACCACTAGTGTGCAACAGACAACAGTTGCATTGTTTTTCCACCTAAAGCCAGTTAACCAGAGTGACTCTTCTTTTAATGGCCATTATAAATGCACAGCTTACTCTGCATGCATGCAGCATAGGGGAACCAGGAGTTCAAGTGGCTTGAGGCTGTTTCATACGGTGAAGAAGGAACTGAAAATGAACTGTGAACAATGCATGAACCTGATCCACACGCTGGAGACATTGTAGGCAGCGTCACATGCCCATTCTTCCTAAGAGGAGCACAGCACAGGGGTCCAGCCTTTTCATCAAGAGTGCACTGCCTTGGGAGATCCAACTTTCCACCTCATTGCACATGTTCAGACAGAAGTTTAACACAGTCCTTTTCATGGAGAGTTCCTGATGTTCTCCTCTTGATCAGATTTTTCTGTGTGATGATGAGTGCTATGTTTTTCTTTTAATTTGATTATTTTATGCACATATTATTATACATATTTATTATGTTGACTTTAAGCTGGTCTGATGGCTTAATATGGGAGAACAATGCACCAGAATCCTTCCTCGTGATTATTTATTTATTTATATCCTGCCTTTTTTCTTTCCGACTCAAGGTGGCTTACATTATTATTCTCCTCCTCTTCTCAATCTCATTCTCTCAACACCAACCCTGTAAGGCAGGTTGGGCTGAGCATTTGTCAATGGATCAAAGTCACCCAGTGAGCTCCATGGCTGAGTGGGGACCAGCACCCTTATCACCTGTGGCCCAGTCTTGCATTCTTACCTACTACAACACAATGGCTCTCTAAAAATAATGCCTTCTAAAAACAGAGAGTTGATCACTCAGGAAACTATATAACACATCTTTCAGCTCATGTTATCCCAACCCCCCCCCACCCCAGAAGTCCTTCTCCAGTTTTTGCTTTCCTTTCTCTTGAATGACTGTTGACTCATGAGGAAGGCACAAGAGAATTATTTGTATATGAAGATCCACATTACATGTTTGACTGGTAGCCATCCCATCCCATCTGAACAGAAAATTTACTTACTGAACTTATGATTTCCCCATCATGTTTTACAGCATCTTCTAAGCCATCCAAGTTATAAATAAAGCTGCGACATACCCATCAAAGAGGCAAAACTAAGCATTTTTTCCTACCTTACTTTCCACCAATGAGATGAGAATCTGCTCCATGATGCTGTTAATGGCAGGCACGGATGTCTGAATATGGCCGATCACCACACCTATGGCAACCCGGGAGAGCTCATAGCTGAGATTTGTGTTCCTGCGGACTAGCTCAATCAATTCAGCACCCATGGTCTTTGGCACGGATACTACTAAGCTGGAGGATTCCGGCTCCACATTCTCTAAACCAACAGCCTTCTTATCTTCCAGGCAAGGAGAGTCAACGCCTTCTAAGCCTGCAGGAGCACCTGCCACAGTCTCACTGGCTTGCATGCTCTTCTTGCTGCTGACATTCGATGCCTCCCCTTGCATAGGAGGTGGTGGGGCAGCCCTTTTGGACTGGGGGGATTTGCTTGCGCTCCCATGCTTCCCTTGCACAGCAGGGCTGACATCTATGCTGTGTGACACCATCAAGTGAGAACTTCTGCTGGGAACAGGGGGAGGGGTGTTGCTAGGGCTGGGAGTAGCCGGTGGAAGACCCGACTCTGTGGAGCCTGTGTACAAGGTATCCAGTGAAGTTGTGCTCATAGAAGAAGCACTAGAAACTGACCCAGAGGTGATTTCAACTGCATCTAAGAAGGAACAATTAAAATATCTTAAGAACAACATGAAAGGAAAAAGGGAGGGGGACACAACTGCAACAGGAGGGGAGTCCATTAAGCAGCTCATTGTGCATTGCTTCCAAAGTAGTTTAACTACCCTTCTGGTTCACTTATCTCAAAGCAAGATTGTATTAACTGTCTCTCGAGCATTCCTGAATGCTAACCCCTTTACAGCAAGTGAAGAAAAAGCTGCTCTACAGAGACGGATTTTCTTCAAAGATCTTGCTGTTTTTACAGAAGAGTATTAACTTGGGAGGGGGGGAGTAGAAGAGATGTTTCCCCAAAGGACTGGCCAATATGTTTCATTTTAAGCATACAGCCATTCTTTTTAAATGATGTATCTTTCTCTTGTTTGAAAGGGATAAAAATGCCTTTTGGTCCTTTTTTCTTACTACTGTTACTTTCATGAGCCAAAGGAACATACGGTAGAGATCATCAAGAGTCAACACTTGGAGAACAACCAGTTTTGTTCAAACGTCTTCTTTCTCTGAAGAATTTCAGAATGCTTTTTAATAATTATTCAAAATGAATTTAATAATTATTCAAAATGAAGTTTACCAGCTTTATTGGGATCAAAGATCAAACTCTCCCAGTTTGAAACTTCAAAGACCTTTAGAAGCCAATTTCCTCCTCAAAGTAAAGGCCTGGTGCATGACAGGAGATTGGTGCCAGCCCTCTGCACTGCAGCCTCCTTCCCCATTTAAAAGGTATTTGGCAACAAGATAATGCTATGAGAGTGCATTGGCTCAGAGGTCCCCACTATTCCCAAGGCCTCCTCAGCAACTTGAGAGCCCTGGAAACTACGTTTCCCATGGGTCCTGGCACCTGGGACACTCCTCCGGCAGCGCTCTCAAGCATGAGAAAAGTTCTAGGACCTCCAGCATGTTTCGAGGAAAGGGATCAAGTCGGGGTTGTGGCTGAAGGGGCTGGGCCCAAATGCACTCTCTAAAAATAATTAGGTTCATTGTCCAGTAATTTGGGAAAACAAATACATTTGTTTTAGTCAGCTGAGCTCATTCAGAATTGAGTTGGCGGGGGCATACCCATCACTAAAGCTGAGCTGTCCCAAAACTACATCTTCTCCCACATCTTAGTGAAAGTTCATATCCACTTAATGGAACCATCACCAGGGATGTTGATTCACTGCACAGATTGCAGGCTGAACTGTGGAGCCCCATCTGGCAATCAGTGCATTTTAAGACATGAACAGGTTTCTAAACCTGATAGGATGCCAAGATGCATTTTTAGTCAATGCATAATGTCAATGTCGCCTTAAAATCCTCCTCCTAAAAACAGAGCACATCTGGAAAGATCTTTGTATAATCATAGGGAGTAACATTATTCTATACTCTCAGCTCTTTGTCCCTTATGAGGGAGCTGTGCCTGTTAATGTGACTCAAGACTCATTATTTTCCCCTCTCTAATATTGCATTAAACTGCAATTAGGGTTAAATGTCCATGGCTGGAACTGTTAAAGTAGTGATATTAATCAGTTACAACTTCTGAAGATAATTGAAATAACTTGTGCCTAATAAATCAGAAATTAATGAATTACACCTGCACAACCTGTTTTCTTCAGCAAGTTGATAGCCCAATGTCCCTCTGCTGCCATTTTATTTTGTGCCAATAAACTCAGGCCTACTGAAACCAAACACTCAGGTAAGCAGAGCTCATTTATATTGGAAGTCCAACCGCCCTGCTTAAGATTCTGCCTATGTTGCCTTCACTGAGTTTTATTCCTTATCTTCTCCCAAAACAGGTACTACGGATCTCCCTCAGCTGGTCTTTCACTGTTAAGACAAGGAAGATTATGTATGGTAAACAGTGGCACAGATAAACAACTTGAGAGCCTTATCAGCAGATGAAAAGAAGCCATTCATTTAAATGGCAACAATGCTGATACCAATACCTGATTAACTTTATCACCTTCACTTTACCCACCAATCTCTTAGGAGCCAAAAGGAAAAAGATCTAGTTCCCTTTTCTAAAGCATTTTTTCTAATTGCTAATGAATAATCTAGCACACTGTCATTGACTTGGACTCAGGGGGCAAAGCGAACAGCAGCATGCCTTCAAAATCACAGAAGAGCAGAGCTGGATGGAGCCAAAGGACCAAGAGTCCAACCCGCTGCTCAGTGCAAGACTCCAAATTAAACCATCCCTCTCAGATAGTTAAAGGGCACTTGGAAACACCGAACTCTTTGCTACATGTAGGAAGGCTGGGGTAATTTGTGGCTTTCCTTACGGAGCTCTCTACAACTACTTGGTTTTTGTCTCTTTAGTACGAAGGCACAAATCATAACCATGGTTTGCTTTCCTTAAACCAAGCTTTCAAATTGCCATTTGCTTGGTCATCTCAGCTGAGTATAAATATTCTCTGGGTGACCATGCTAATGTAGCATGTCTCCTTTGTAGCTTACCTCCAGCATGAGTTTGACCTTCAAAAGTTCAGAAATTGACTGCAGTCTAGTGTTCAATGGCCAGTATTTTGATTTTCACACCTAAAGCCTTCAGTTTAGTTCTGCGAACAGTGTGAAGGGGTTTTTTAATACCATCTTTCATGTCTAGCCAAGACCTTGTAATTGTCTGAGTCAGCTTCTTTATCTGTGCCAGCTTAGTACTATGGGCTTATCTTCTGTTTACTTTCTCTACCATGCCCCAAGGACACATCATTCGGAATCTGGAAGGTTAGCAGCCTTTGCCCCATTCTTTGTGTTCACTGCCATTTACCTTTGAAAGGGAAGCAAACTAAACTCAGAAGGACATTTCCAGATGTGGGATTCTGGATTTTTTAAATGTTTGCCTTTGGATAAAAAGGTCCAAATTAACAGTTGATTCCCATGTGCTTGCTCCTAGATGCGCCAGTGAAGCCATTTATGATTACTAAGAGTAGACCTCATGACTGCTCCAACATAGCAGTGCACTAGAATAAGGACCCTCAACTTCAGCTGCAATGCTCTGTCATGAATAATTATTCTTCAAAGTAAAATGAAAATTATGGCCTGAGCCTTTTACTTGGAAGCATGCCCCACTGAATTCAATAGCACAGATTATGAATGGGATTGCCGCCTTAATGCTCCAATCTCCCCAGTTTTACCGCACAGTGTTAAGAGTAGATTAAAAGTTTATGGGGCAGAGGTCAGTAGATAAAAGTATTCTGTATGAGTGTTGATCTGTGCAGGCAGGCTGGTTAATAAAAGATGATTGGGGTGGTAACTTTTGTGAACCTCTTTGTAAGAATGCTTTAAAAATGGTTAAATATTATGATCTGTTTGTGTGTAACAACAACCCATAACAAGAACTGTCACTGAATCATGGGTTTTTCTTGAATCATGGATTGTAGTTATGGGCAAACCTTGCATTATGGTTTAACTATTGTTCTTAACTACAAACAGCTCAGAAGGAGAATCTGTGGCTTGCTGCTGCGTTGCGAACTCAGCATTATTTGTAGTTAACAATCCACAGTTAAACCACAGTACAAGGATTACACAGAATGGCAACCCATGATTCAACGGTGCACTGCTCAATGATAAGTCATACTCAGTCCATACTGTGGGTTGCAGTCATATGTTAAACCAGATCTAGAGCTGATTACGCAAACCCTGGATCAAGACTGGGTGCTAACCAAGTTATGAAACCATTGTCTCAAGTGGGTATGGAGGTCATGATTAAAGGCCACTCCCAGTCTTTCCATCCTCTTTACTTGCAAGGTAACACGTGGATCTCACTGGCTTCAGGGCTGAGCACAGACAAGTCAACCTCTGGGATCTTAACGAAGTGCAAAGCAGCAGCTGGTGATCTGTCCTAACCATAATTATGGTTTATGTCTGCACCGGGTCCTTCTGAGGAAGGCACTGCTGGCACGAAAGCTATTTAGATAACCAGCGCAAACAATTACAGCACCTGAGAATGCTTTGCTTTGTATCAGCAGCACTGGGATTCCAGGTTTTAACAACATGGCAACTGACTGCCAGCACTTACGTTAACTGACACACCCTCTTGGTAGAAGCTGAAAGAAAAGTGCTCCCCGGAGCACTGCTCTGCAATGTTCAGATCTGAACAAAGAGCGGGATGGACTGCTCCCAGAAAGCTCCATCTTAATTGAGTCCTCCATCACTGCATTATTAGTGGGCTCCCCCTGGTGATCTATGCAGTTATCACATCCTGGCCAGGAGAAAGCTGGAATGTTCATGTTCATCCTGCTCGACTGTGCTACTCCCAAAGAAAAGCAGGAAGCACTTCAAGAAGTGATGCCCAGCCAAGGTGACCATCTGCACAGAAATACGCTTGTTTCCCAAATACTGCCTTACAAGTCATTCTGGAAAGACGGCATGGCCAATTTCTGAAACTGATTGAAAAGGAATCATTAAAGATTATTTTCATCAGACAGATTTTTCCTTCCCATCCACTGGAGAGTTCTCTCCAAATTACATCTGTAACTAACATTCCTTAAGGGAGGAACCATATGCACTTTCCTGCTTACACACAATTACAGGACTGAAGAGAATGCCAGAAATATTCAACAGGCCCACTACCCAAGTGCACATAGGTAGTGCATATCATTCCTGAATTTTCTAAAAAAGCCACGCCTGCATTGTGGTAAAACAGGCAAGTCTTCTCATATTGATAACCTTCATTTACATTTACATTTTAATTTTAATTTAATTAAAACATTTCTACCCATTCCTTTGTGAAGCCTCAGGATGGCTTACAAAAAGGGGGAAAAAAGAATGGTATGTTCCAACAACCCTGTGATTTTTTTAAAAAAACCCTTGTATATGGAAGTAGACTCCCATGCTCTGCTTCCTGAATGCATGACTGAAAAGCTCAGAATAGGGGTGGGGGAACCCCTTTGCAGAACGACATAATAAAAGCCATGCTGGATCAGACCTGAACTCCATGTTGGCGAAGTTCTGCAGTGGTGGTGATTTCTAAAGCCACAGGGGGTGAGTCCAAAATGCAACAAAATACCAGCATGTTGCAGCTTAAAGCTTCTCACTTCCAGTAAATATACTTTAGGAGTGACAGTTCGTCCTTTCAGAAAGAGGAAAAGCTGGGAAACCAGCAGATGATCCATAGATGGAGAAAGAATCCAAGGATGGATCAGGGTATCCAGAGAGCTGGCCTGACCCACCCTGCCTTAGAACAACAGAAGCACATTTTGTTCTATGACTGCAAACAAAGCAAACGCTTAGCATAAACACACACCTAATATTTCTCTTTGGCATGTGGAGCCAGAGATGTGGCCAAACCAGCAAGCTAGTTGTACAGTATCTCAAGATCACACACTTGCAAAGGCATTTCCCTTACTTTTAATGGAGGCAGACATCTGCATGTTCTTGAGTTTTTCTGGTGGAGGGGGAGTGACGGGAGCAGCACGGCGGGGCTGCGCCGGGATCTAGAAGAGAACATTTCAGAGTGATCAAAGCCAGCCGCAACAGCAGTACACAAGACGTACATGTCAGATATTTTTTCCTAAGTGTCTACACATTTGTCCCAATATTGCCTCTTCCATTCCTTTAGTATGCCTCTGGAGAAGAGAAATGTTAATTATAATCAGTTCCCTTCAAGAGCAAAGCAGAACCTCTGAACACGTTGCTTTCCTCCCTCTCAATGACAAGGAGAGCAGCATGTTTAATTGCTATGTTCAGCAGTACACCACGCTGGTGTTGCACAGGCCTGTCAAACACGCACACTGCGTGTTGCGCTCAGCCCCTCCAAACAGGCAGCAAGCCACGTGCATGTTAGATGCATTTGGAGTGATCCATGCAACAAATTATACTTGCAAAGGTATAAAGACAAAGACATAATGTATGTAGGTTTTCTTCACATTAATGCATTCAGAGCAATTTTTACTTAGACTGGTGAGGGGGAGGGAATCTCAAGGTAGACAAGGCTATTTACAATGTCATTCATTCCCTGCACTTGCTCCTGATGCAAAAAGCTTCAGGCAGCATGCCGAGCTTAAGCTCCCCATAACTAGTACATTCCAAAGTAACATACTTCTCCTGTGAGCAGATAGGAGCTGCAACACTGATCTTATCATCTGAGCTGTATAAAGAAGAAAGGGGGGCAAAATAGGGCAGGTGCTAGATATGTCACATCCAGACTGCACAGGGGTCACAGACCTACATTGCATGGCTCCATTTCCCATTTCCAGAAACAAGGCCATGCTTGGCATACTTTGTAATTCGGCCAGAGATGCATCTCTTGGCTCAGTGGTTAATAGCACCTGAGCCCTTTAACATCCAACTGCATCCCCCAGCTCATCTCATCTCTTCCAACTGCATCCTCACTAACCTGGCATGATGTGGCACTTGATCTCTCCCACATGGGCCTTATTCTCCACTACATTTCCATTTTCTTAGGCAGCAGTTGGGAACAGCTCTCCTCTGCCATTCGAGGAGAGGCCATTTCTGCTCAAGCTGAGATAGCAGCAGCCTCCACACACCTCCACTGAGAATCCCACTCTTTGACCCAAGGCCCCTCTCTTCCTCCCCCCTTGTGCAAATCTCCATGTCTCACCCTCTTCTCCTCTCCTCACCTGGCCAGTCATCTCCTCATATCCTGGAGTGTGAGGCTCCACTGTTCCTTATTAACAGTGGGGAGGGGAATGTGTGCATCTACAGAGGCTGGTAGGCTACAACTCCATCAGCCCTGGCCAGAAGAGCTAATGGTAAAGGATGGGAATAGATGCCCAACAACTGAAGAGGCATATGGTCCCCATCCCAGCTTTACCCTCTTGCTTAGATCCCTAAGGAAGAGTGGATTAGGGTCCTCTATCTTCTGCTCTCATTTCTGAACTCCTCAGCTCCTTCCTTCAGAGATTTAACTGTTTCTCATCCTCTGTACTCTCCAATCCTGTGACTCTCTCAAAAACACCCTTCTTAGGAACTTCCTCTATGAAGTAAGCAAAGGACCCAACAATATTCCCTAATGGTAGGATATTGCCATGTACATTAGGCAAAGGCTGGGCTCTTCAAAAAAGGATTAAAGATAGCATTTAAAAAAGAAATCACTAATTTATTTACAAGATGTAACATTTAGACAATAGAGGGATTTTCTTTGAGAAACGGAGTTTTATGGCGACATTATTCAGCAGCTGTGCTACTGTACTTGCCAAATGCTGGTCTTCACCTTTATCTACATAGACAGAATTTAAATTAATCAATCCTGGTTCATGTGGGAGCTTCACCTACTCTTCTTTTGCTACTGCAAAGGAAGAGGATTCAATAGCAGCACTCTCACCTGGCTACATCCAGGACTGGGAAGGGGATATTGCAAGCATGTGAAGCACACATTTCATTCCGGAATGAGTAATATGTGATTGTAAGAGAAACTGAAAGAAGTGTAAATCGAAAGGAATATTCTAGTCAGCATACATTTTTTTAATGCAGTACAGATGGGAGAAATCCAAACAACAAATTAAGCATCATATGTGAAAATAGCCTCAGGCAGTGAATTTTTTATTTGTGAAGGATTCTGATTTGAAAGTTATGCAGCCGAATTTAAGTGGCAGAAGATGTTGACTTAACTAGGATCTGCAATCACATTAATCTGAAGCTTATATCTGATCCTAGAATCTACTTACCAACCTAAATGTTGAGCTATGCTGGGAAAGCATCTTCAGAGATGTGCGTGTGCTAGTTGTTCCCACCCTCCTATTCCTGTCCCCATCAATGCATCTCAAATAGTGACACCCATTTGGCACATATGTTACAGTTGCAACTACAGAACACATTCTGGAGAAAAGAGGTTTGCACCTCCTTTTTATGGCCAAGGCAGCTCCATGGGTATAGTTTACCAAGTTTTTTTATACAGGCATTATTATGGGTAAATGGTGTTGTACAGTCCAGAAATTCAGACCAAAAATGGCCCTCTACTACATCACATAAATTCATAGATTCATAGAATAGTAGTGTTGGAAGGGGCCAAGGAGGTCATCAAGTCTAACCCCTGCTGCCGCAGGATGTCAAGTTACACCGTCCTATTCAGATGACTGCCCAGTTTTACCTTGAATGATTCTAGTGCGGGAGATCCCACAACCTCTCTTGGCAACTGATTCCACTGTCTTATTGCTCTGACAGTGAGGAAGTTTTTCCTGGCATCTAGCCTGAATCTGGAGTCCTGCAGTTTAATTTCGTTGTTCCATGTCCTACACCGGGGGATGAGCAAGGTCCTTTCCTTCCTCTTTGTGTCAGCCTTTGAGGTACTTGTAGAGTGCGATCATATCCCCTCATAGTCTTCTCTTCTCGAGGCTAAAAATGCCCAGCTCTCGCAGACTCTCATCATAGGGCTTAGCTTCCAGACCCTGGATCGTCTTTGTTTCCCTCCTCTGAACACTTTCTAATTTTTCTGTATCTTTTAAAAACCAGGCTGCCCAGACCTAAACACAGTAGTCCAGGTGAGGTTTGACTAGTGCAGAATAAAGGGGACCTAGTATCTCTCTTGTTCTAAAAGAGATACTTCTATTTATGCAACCCAAAATAGTTTTTGCCCTTTTTGTGTCTGCATCACACTGCAGGCTCATGTTTAGCTTGCTGTCCTCAGCAGCTTCAAGGTCTTTTTCTTTTTCAGTGCTGTTGAGCCAATTTATTCCCCATCTTGTATCAATGCATTTGGTTTTTTCCTCCCAGGTGGAAAACCTGGCAGGTGTCCTTGCTGAATTTCATCTTGTTGCTTTCCACACAGCATTCTAGAAGATCTAGGTCGCCCTGGATTTTCTTTCTGTCTTTCAGGGTGTTAGCTATTCCACTCAGCTTTGTGTCATCTACACATTTAATCATGGTTTCCTGGTCTTGCTCATGTAGATCTTTAATAAAGATGCCGAAGAGCACTGCCCCAGGACCGATCCCTGTGGCACCCCACTCATTACCTCACTCCAGCTTGTGAAGATCCTGTGACTCTCTGTGACCGATTTTGTAGCCAGTGGTGGATCCACCTAATAGTCGTTTTGTCGAGTCCACTTGTTGCTAGTTTATCAGGATGTAATGGGGTACTTTGTCAAATGCTTTGCTAAAAGTTAGGTAAATTATGTCCATTGCATTTCCACATGTTTTTCTTGCCCTCCAAAAAAAAACTTATTACAATTATATCCTGCTTTTATCACTTGCAAGACAGCAAAGGTGGTTTACATTGTCTTCCTCTTCTCCATTTTGTCTTCATAAGAACAAACCTGTTAGGCTGGAAGTCAGTACCTGGCTCAGTCACCCAGTGAGTTTCCTGGCCAAATAGAGACAAAAACTGGAATCTCCCAAATCCCAGTCCAGCCACTACACTGACTCTCCTATTTATCCCATTAATTTGAAAAATAAAACTCAGGTGTTCAAGCCAAAGTTATGGTGTGTAGAGTTAAAAACTATTTCAGCAGATGCATGCATTTTACTTGGTATCCTGTTTCTAGTCCTTTTGGCTATCACAGCTTGAAACTTGCTTCTGAAACAATGAAGGCTTTTATTTTAAAAGGAAAGAAGCACAAGGCCTTCTCCACATCTTCTCTTTGCCTCCTACAACCATTTTTCTTCTGAAGTCCAGAACTGTCAGACAGTCACAATTAACAGATATCCTTCCACAGAACTGCTTCAAAAAGAAGACTGTAATGCAATGAAAAGTCACCTTCTGCGATTCAACCTATATTTGCATTTTCAGCAAAGAGGGAACATTTAAAAGTGGTGATACTTACTCAGGATCCAAATGGAAAATTAGACCACAATGAATTTGCTTGTTGATTTAGAAATTATCAGTCTGCAGTCCAAATAGATATCACAGCTGGAAGTCAGGGCACAAAGCACGACTATTCAAAAAACTGGCAAAATGCCCTTTCCATTCTCCCAGGCAGCTTCTGTAAATACACCTGGTCCAGTCCAACTCATTTTAGTGATTTTACATTCTGTGAGCATTGCAAGCTCCTCACACTACTTGCTGTGACCTGAAGCAACAGGCCTGAGTATTCACACCTTCAGTTAGCTGGCTTAAGGGGAAGTTGAAAGGGAAGGACTTTGATATTTCACTGGTTCCCTTGATGCTTCTTGGATTGACCCCTCCATGGCCTTATTTAGAAAAAAGATCAAAATCTGCACCACAGCCCTGAGTGGTTGCTCAGGAAATCCATTTTAAAACAGACTGCAACTCAGAGAGGACAAACAGCCCAAGTTGCTTTTTAAAACCCACATTCTAAGGCTCTCAAGGTTAAGAAGAAATGGCTCTATTATTATGGTGACAGAGGCTGTGAGCACCTCTCAAGAGCATCACTTTTAGTTGAGAGTCGGCAAGTTGGAGCCCCCCAGACTTAATGGACTTTTTCAATCCTTCACTGCTGGCTAGGTTGGATGAGGGTGCGGGGAACAGTAGGCCAAAACTTCTGGAGGGTCGTGAGTTGCCCACCTGCCTTACATGCAGATTTTTCTAGCTAACAGGCATTTCTTAAACACAGGCATGCCAATCAGTGTGAATGGGTGTAGGGGATACTTAACCCTTCCAGCTGATTTTCCCGCCCAAACACTCCTCCCTGCCATTTTCCCCCAACAGCCAACCTTTGTCTAGTTCCACAGCATACCTAGGAAAAAAACCAGGGGAAAATAGCCTTTCCTTCAGGCACTGATCAGTTGTCTGAACGAAAGATTGAGCACCTACCTCTCCCACTTCTCCCAGGCTAATATGCCCTAGCCCCAGTTAGCTTTGTCAGGCAAAGTTAGGTGTGGAATCTCATGTTTGCCACACACCTGGTTTGCCATATTATGGTCCCAAGTGTTGGTGCTGGCTTGAATTCCCCCTGCCCCTGAACCTAACTTGCTTGCAGAAGGACAAAAAATAACCCAGTTTTAAACAATTTTGTTGTCTGCTGATTTTCTGGACACTGACCAGAAGTGAGAGCCTGTGAAATTGGGAAGAAACAGGTCAATTTCATGCTGCTGATGCTTGCTAAAAGAAGCACCAACATAGTAATAAAAAAGAAACACAGGAGAGAAATAAATGAAGACTTTCTCCTCTTTCATCTTCCATCTCCTTTCACCAGCCCAGCAGGCTTCATACATGAGACCATATCATCAATCATACCCTTAAATTAGTTCTGATTGTTTCAGGCTCATCACACACCTGCTAGCCAGAGATACTTGTGAAAAAATGCAGGACTATCCAAACTTGCTAACAGATCCAGAAATTTTCCTAATTTAGGGTCTGAGCGCACACTTATTTAACATCCTCCAAGTCCATTTCCATACACCCATCTTTTAGCAGAAAGAGGGGTTGCCACCGTTCTTCCATAAGAATATGGGAAACAAACTCTGCCCACAGAAGATGTTTGCCCCGTGACTCAAATGTCCTCCAATGCCATTGCCCCCTTGCCAAGATCACTTAGGCAGCAATGGAGGTTTGCTGCTCCTTGCATCCCCCTGCCCGGTGCAATTACCCCCCCCCCCCCCCAATTAAGCACGTGCGCACACACACACACACACTCCTATGCAAGTATAGTGAGAGCAAGGCGAATCAGAAAGTCAGAGCCAGGAAATCACTTTGAATGCTGAGGAAAGAAAATCAAGCTTAAAAATCAGGACAGCTGGCAAATGTGCACTTTTTAGATTGGATGTTCAAAGGATAGAGAAGTATTCTCTCTTCAATGATTCTAAGTTCATCATCTGCTTATGACAGAACAAAACACATCCCATCAAGAGCACACTCAAAAGAGATTGGCCATAAGTCCTTTACAGATTGGGTAGAAGGAACTTCCCTCCCATCAGTCAGGATACTTATGCTTTGCTAGAGCTTCACTGACATTAACGGATCACGATGGGAAATACAGACGTGGAGAAGATTTCCACTGCTCACCTTTCTGCCTGTGGAGAGGCATTACTAGTTTCTCCTGTTTCATCTAAAGGAGGTTTAATGAATTTGCCTTAAGTGAAGACGTAAATAGCTCAGAACAAAAATTATGGCAGGTAACATGCTCCATTCCATTCAACAGACCTCTTTACTGCCTGTCAACATTAATATCCTCAAAATCATTAAAACAGGCAGCTTGCCTTCTTTTGAGAAAAGACAGATCCAATCCCCTTTGGTGGAAAGGGACTATTTTCCGACCCATGCTTGGTGGATCAATAATACCACCACTGTATATTATCAAGGTCAGAAATCAATCTACTAATTCAAAGACATGTTGGTAATCTCAGTAGCCTTGGAATACATTTACAATGTAGGCCAACCTCTGGTTCCATTTCTGGCACTTCCTTTTTTAGTTTAACATTAGCAGAAAAAAGCATGCAAGCTGTATTTGTATTGTGCAGTAAGCTAGGAAATAGGAAACTTCTATAGTTACCCTAGTAAGAGGCAGATCTAATGGTTTTCCTCATATTTCACAAGAGTTTGGGGGGTGGAGGAAGAGAGGCAAAACAATAAGCAGTACTGTCCCAAATGTATTTTTCCGACTTCTTCCCTGAAGAATTTTCATCTTTTTAAAAGCACGTCATGAGATGGCTGAACACAGTAATTAGCTCTCACAAATCTTTTATACTGACTAGCTACCTCCTGGGGATACCAAAAAGCTTTGCAAACAAAAATGCAGGACATCACAGCCAAGCTGAACATTAGACAGCTATTCTCACCAGCTACAATAAACTCAGGCATCCAAAGAACAGCTCTTAAGCTGGCATTCGACAGCCAAATATCACCTGTGGTTGCTTCCTTCCTTTTCAAAACAGAATATTCTGTTAGGGAGCCAACAGGTGACATGAGGGGATGGATGAACCTGTCCATTTTGGGTTCTCTCCATTTTTCATTATCTGCTCATTTACCCTTGCTTCCACTCCAGATTGTGCTTTCTTTTAAGGACTGTGTGCATCCTTAAGCTGTATGCAGTTACTGCTATGCATTTTCACATGTTTTCCTAATATATGCAGTTTTGCCTAATGTGTTATTTTTAAACATTAGACACCACAATTAGTAGAGGTGTGCACAATTTTTTTCTAGGCATTTTAGTGTCAACCTGTTTTACATCCTGCACCATATTTTAAATCTTTGTTCTGCTGCTAGGTCATACTTTGGTCTTTACTTCTATTTTGTACAATGGTTTTAAACATTTACATTTTTATATTGTATTTTATGTTATATTTTATGTTTTTAAATTGCTGTGAACTACCCAGAAAGCTGCCATTATTGGGCAGAATAGGAAGGAAATAAATTAAATTTTAAATTATTTCCACTAACATTGGCATGTGGGTGCCTAATCTAGCTAAACACATATATGTATGCATTTTTGACTGGAAAACTTTATTGCAAAACTCCAGAGAAGTACTAATATGGAATTACAACTGGGTTTTAATTCACATATTTTTGAGAAGCACAAGTGTGGTAAAAACTAATACTTTCCCCTTCCCTAGTGGTATGGAAGATTTTCCCTTCAGAACGCCTATGCCCAATAAGAATCTATGGAGTCTGAGAGCTTATAAAACTCCCAAATATCTAATCAGAGCAATACAAAAGAGGGATTTACTTATTCCTTCTCATTCTTCAGGATTAGCATCCATAGCAAACTTAAGCAGTAGACATTATCTGCCTATGAAGACAACATTTCAGAAGGACTAGTACATGCAGGACAGACCTTGCTGAGACAGCGATAGGCTACTGCTGAAGATGCTACCTGATAAACGCCACTGTCATCCTCTTGAGGGTCCGTATTAGGCAAGCTGTGGTGCCGCTCATACCCAGTCCTGCAGACACCATTGGGTTGCCTGGAGAGGTCCAGATGGTGGTCACTGGAGGAGGCAGTCATCCCTGGAGCAGATGGGGAATGACTTTTGCGGGAAACAGTCTCCTTCCGATGATGGATCAACTTTCTGTCAATACAGCAGAACAGCACCTTACCTTTTAGCTTCCATGTTTAAGAGAGCACTTTCCACTGACTCTACGGTTATGGGGATTATCTTTGAAACGTTTATAGTTGCCCAAAATTCCCAGTAAGACTACCACAGCTTTTTATTTTCCCCAGTACAGTAATGTCAAGCAGTGATACCCAGTAACCCCTTGGATTTTGAAAGGACTTTACAAAAAATGAATAGTTTCTGAAACACGGGACAATTTAATGATGGACGAGACTGCTTACAAATCTTATCTCTTTCTCATAGATACCTAGCACCTTCTTCTGCTTTGCTCTCCTATACTTATATGATATTAAAGCTGTGCAGATGTGGCCTCTTAAAATTCTCCATCTGAGTTTTGGGCAGAGAAATTGAGGGAACAATTTCACTGACTATCTCCAGGTTCAGGACAAATTATCCACCATTTCTCACAAGCAGAGCTTGCCATTGGAAGCCCAGCCTCTGGGGGGGGGGGGGTGCGCATGCAGATGTGCGTGTGCACCTGTGTTGCCACTGCATGTGGCAACAGCAACTGGCAACTGCCTCCATTGGCAGACTGGTCCCCATTTTGCATCCTTCAACATGCAGGTGTGAGGAGAATTGTGTTGCATCCAGCTCCAGGAAGCTAGTGCTGTGCCAAGATTTGCGTCTGCGCGGTGTCATCCAATTTCCTGAAAATTCTCTTCCCTCATTAAAGGTGCTTCCATCTCAGTGCCTCATGCCAGGGCAGTTTATAGCTTATTCTGATTTTAATTTTGTGCTGTTTTTCAGCTTTATCGTTGTGAGGTGGCTGAGAGGTGCTTTGTGTTTTCTGCACAGCACTCTATCGCTCTGCAGTCTGCCAAGCTGCCCACACTTCCTGATCTGACTTGCCCCTGCCTGGGAGCAGTGAATCCATGATGCCTTCCAAGCGTTAATTCAAGCGTGGAAAGCCATGGAGACCAGATAAATTATGGTACAATGGAAAACAGGATACTTACACATACTCCTTGCCCCCCTCTTAAGTAAGGTGAGTGCAAGAACCATAATCCCAACCCAGAAGTAATTTTCCAAATTTTTCTTCTCCTTTGAATTGTTTTCAAAAGTAATTTCTTTTCTTTCAAATAAGAATGGTTGAAAATGTGAGAGCCATTTTTAGCAGAGCACTAGATAATATATATCCCACTACATTGCCCCCCAAAATATCCTCATTCTCAAAAGATAATTCAGAATTTGACAGCATTCTTTGGTGCATGACCACCTCAGTTTGCATTATACCCACATCTATGCATGAGATGAACAAAAGAATGAGCAATAATCTGGTCCCTAATACAGTAGCCTATAAACTTTGTTGCATTTGGAATGCAGAAAACAGGAATGGACAAAAGGCAGGCCAAGCAGAGTTACTTTAAGAGCAAGAATGCCACCCAATTCACCAGATTCATTTAGAACAAATAAATAATGCACAGGGAGTTCCCAAGTTATGAACATTTGAGTTATGAGCACACTGCACTTACAAAAGAGGTGCCATAAAGTCTACTAATTTTTTTAAATTACTGTAGAAAATTGTCATCACCATAGAGAGGGAGGAAGTGAAAGGGGAGAGAGGAAGACCTCCAAAGCATCACCATAGAGAGGATACAAAAGGGGAGAGAAGGGGCCTCCAAAGCATGCCTTCCTGCCCCACCCATTCGGCATTTGTTTGCTGCAAAGAGGCAGCACTGGTGAATTTGGATGGGGGTGGGTAGAGATATTCATGGTTCTTCCACTTTCATGGAGCTCCTGTGCCCCTAACCATGTGTGTTCAAACTTACACACAAATTCCACTTAAAGATGGATTTCCATTTTCTCAGGAATGGAACGTGTTTGTAGCTCTGGAACTGCCTGTGTAATATGCATTACATGGGAAGGCCAAAATCTCAAATAAATATCTATCATTTTCAGCATTTACAATCCATCTTTCTAAAATCTTCCAATTAATATGGATTGGAAGGAGATTCCTTACCATATCCCACAGAATGAATAAAAAGAAATACTGGTATAGTTCATTCTTGGGTTATAACTCTGGGTAGTTTCTCCCTCAGAAACCCAGAATTCTGGGTTCAGATATCATAGAGAACAACCCAGAGACAGGGCATCCCTGCTTAGTGCACCAGAAGTGATCAAGTGGTAGAAGCTGGGGCACTCTGCTCCTGCACAGCTCCTAACAACTCTGGATTTTCTGATTGTGTGAAACAGTTCATTGATGGTACTGGAGTAAGAAAGTTTGGTGAATAAGTGGAAATAAATGCTTTGAGTAAGAGGAAAGAAAGAAGAGTGAAAAGGTACAGGTTAGTGTTTGCCATAATATCTAGTGTGACTCTGAATGTGAACTGTGGGTCTTAAATTGCTCTCAGTTCATCTACGTTTTACAAATTCTATTTAATCCCATCTTTTTTCCTGCAAGGAACCCTAAGCAGTTTACATAATCCGCCTCCCTCCATTTCATCCTCATACCAGTCTTCTGAGGTATATCTGAGAGTCAATGAATGGTTCAAAGGCACCTAGCTCTGCATTAACAACATTTCCACACAGCCTGTATTATTTCTGCTTGCTTTACTTACTGGAGAACATCCCTCTGTTCCAGGTTGTATTTCCCCCCGTTCTTCATTGCCACATTATGAATGGCCTCAATAGCTCTGTCAATCGACTGCAAAACCACATCTTGTTCCAGCACCTAAGGAATACAACATGCTATTAAGCACTTCCACCCCCTCAAAATTTATGGCAATATGAAACTGAGAAATGGAGCCATCTCAGCTCTGTTTTTAGACACCACACCCTTTGATACCTTCTCATTGCTTTAGCACACACATCCACAGCATGTGTTTGTAGTAGAAATCAATTCCCCCATTTTATTTCTCATAGATATTTAATAAAGGTTTCTTTAAAAATGTACACAAAACACCCTGGGGGGGGGTGCAGGTGTGCTTTAAAAATATATACAAAATAGATTCTGCCTGTGCAAGATTTATTAGCAGAGGAGAAAAACATTTGTCTGAAAGCAGTGGAGGATACGTCCCAGAGCCACCCCAGCATCCTGGGCCCTGGAGCCCCCGCTATTCATTACACCAAGATCAATGGCAGAACTTCAGAGGCGCAGCACAGCAGATCAATTGCACATTCAAATTGCCACAGTGACTCTTCTACCCTCCACTGCATGTTATGACAATTTCAAGTTTATTTCCTTTGGCTGTCTTTGCATGCCTATGGGAAAACGGAAGGCTGCCGTCACGCTCTACTGCAACCCTGCCATCCCCGGTTCCCCAAAATGTAGTCATTAGCATGTTCATGTACACACCCAGGTACCTGGCATGGCTACTTGTGATTCACAGCACTTGCTAGTCCCTTTGAGGCTTTCACCTGTGGCTATCTTTATGCTGCGGCTGAAATGACCCAGATTCTAGCCTGTGTCTTTATTGCATGTGCTAATTGTTCCCCAAGAAATCCCTTCAACTTGTGTAATGTTTTGGCTAAGTATTTTTATGACAAAGAATAGGTCTTGAACTGACCAAAACATTATTTGAATCAGAACTCTAGGATGCTTCCGCTGCAAGAAATGAACTCCAGAGATTGCTGGTTCCAGCCTCCTGCATTGGTGAAGCTGTAGACACATAGCCTTGAAGTTCATTGTATCCCCCAGCCATGGCCTACTGACCCTCCAAGATTTGAGTTACTGATAATGCAACCTCTCACATTCATTGTATGTGCTGCTATTGGCAGTAAATTGGAAAGGAGAATTAAGGAAACAAAAGAGAGTTTGGAAAAAGAATGAGTGGTGGGAAAATGGAAAAGGCATTATGCTGAGGTGAAGCCAAGAAAGAAATTCTTGCCATTCAAGAATATGGCTAATTCTATTTATAAACTTCCTTCAACAAAGGAGTAGAGACACTTTTAACCTGAGGGGCAAGTTCATTTTGGAGGCTGCTTTCCAGTGGTGGACAGAGCAAAGGCAAAGCTAGCAGAGCCAAAAATATAACCCTACCCCAGTATATTGTACTCTTGTTTGTAGCAGCTATGAGCTCTACGGAGAGGAATTTCAACATTTTTTAAGGCAGGCAGAATTGCACAACAGCTGAGAAATGGGGTGGGACCATGGCTACCTGGACCATTCCTTAGAGTCCATCTGGGACCCTGAGATGTTGGGTTTAGCTTCTGAGATGGAAGCTCCTGTCAACCATCATGTGTTTAATACACTCAAGCATGGCTTCTGTCATCGACCATTAGCCAAAAGGTCCCTGCACAAGGCTGCACTTGCAGGCCAGCAGTTTCAGCACCATCAGCAGAACTATCCAGCCCTCTCTTGCTCCCTCCCCTACCGGGAAACTCTTTTCAATCCAACCCCTTTTTGCCATTCCAGTACTGGGCAAATCGTGGCCAACCCTCTTCCCCACCCACCTGAGGCTGTTTACACGGAGATGCCGCTCACGCTCACTGTACTTCCCTCCAGTTCAGCAGCATGACTAGCAGCACCTACCGCTGCCCTGATAACATTGGCTGGTGAGGATCTCCAAGCTGGAGGATGATATAAGATTCTACTTTCACCAGTGCTGGGAGCCTAACATCTAATGTTACACAGCAGAGCCCAGGATAAGCCAAGTAGCCCCACCAGAGTTAATGAGAGAGTCCCTACCGTCATTGACGCAGAAGCCTTGAACAGAGCTACTGGAGGAAACTCAAGAAGCAGCTCTTCAGCAAACTCGAAATAAAAACTAGAAAATGATGACCATCTTTAACCTCCTCTGGCTTCCCTCTCCTGCCCTGTGCTGGAAACCTTATAAAGCACATATCTTGATTAGCCTCAGGCAAGGCTTTCACAGGAAAAGGCTCCTGTCCCCTAAGGAGCTGTGATCCCTGGTGTTCTTGCAGCAGAATACAACTTCTGATAAACCTGTGTAGGTTCTGCCTGCATTAAAAATTATTATGCCAAATGTGTAATTTCCTGTGAACAGTACATAATTGGTTTTTTTCAAGTGTGATAAAGGGAATTGAAACTCTCTGCCTTGAAACTTAGCTTCTATGATATTGTTAGCTGGTCTTTAAAGGTCAAGATGAATTGGGAAACTTTCAAGTCATACTGTTTGACATAATGTATGACAAATGCTGGCTTAGGAGAAGATCCAGAGGAAGGAACACAGATGTTGAATGATGTTGGGATGGTGCTGTGGGCTCATTAAAACAGTAAGCCCAAGTGTACTCTGAGAGACAGTACCTTGGTATTTTTATATAGCTGTGTGAGAAAGCACTCTTAGCATTCCCTATGGAAGCAGCAGCCTTCTTCCACCTGGAACTTTTCCTTAGATGAAACTCCCAGAATCTAATCCATTTGAAGGGCACCAGGTTGGAGATGCCTGGAGCAGAAATGACTTGTGTGCCAAAAATCTAAACAGGAGATTGAGTCCCATTTGCAGAGAACCAGCAAAACAATCATTTACATTCAGAGTAGAAAGGAAGTGAAGGGTAGGTGGGAAGGACCAATTTTCTGCCCACACTATGGATCTGCCACCTCCCCCGCCCCATCAGTGCATGTAATTAAGACCATTAGCATACTGGTAGTGAGGGGGGAAGCAATGGCTACTTAGCACAGAGAGGATCAAAGGAAACAGCCTCATTTCTGAGACAAGAGTGACTAACTTGGAAGCTGTTACTTTAGGAATATTCTGTGTTCTTTTACATCTCACTAGGATGTAAAAGCTTGCTCATGCGCTCACGCTCTCTCTCTCTCTCTCTCTCTCTCTCTCTGTGTGTGTGTGTGTGTGTGTGTGAGATTCCTGTGACATCAGCTCCCTGATGTCAGCTTAAAGTGAACAATTGAGACATTCAGCATATCTGTGTCAGCTCCCATCTCATCTGGAGTTCCCTTCACCCTCCCTCCTCTTTCTGATCCTGGGAGTCAGTCACTACATGATTTCCCTTTTATACACAATGAAAGATTCTCCACACAAACTGTGCCTGTATCATGCTTAAGAGTGCAATGCTATTCCACTCATATACAGGGCTTCCAAAACTACAATTATCACGCCAACATTATATGCTAAAGTATGCTCCCTTATTTCACCAGTCAAGTAACCTTTGCAGCAGTTAAAATATACAACGATCAGTTACCTACATTCACTAAAACAGCAATACCACCACATGAGATGCACCAAGTTAGCTCTCAAAACCTTCACCACCTACAGAAACTGCAAGTCTTACCACCTTGTGGCTACTGCAAAGATCACGTTCCACGTTACAGTACAGCTTTTCCAATGCCAGTGCCTTCCACATGTCTCAGATTGCAATTCCCATCATCTGCAGCCAGTCCGGCCAGACAGAGCAGCTTGTCACAGCAGCGCTTGTTTCCTTCAATTGCCCAGTCTGGCCAAGGCCATCCAGGGCAAAGGGCTCATATGCAGAGATACATGCTCAACAGTCACATTAACTATGGGCTGCAAAGGGCTTTCCAAATCAAAATGGTTATGTTGAATAAGGATCAGAAAACCTTGCAGTGGCAACAGCACTGGCTGAATTTGTTTTCATATTTCCTCTTGCTCAAGGAGGTGACTAAGGCCACTCTGTTCAACAGCATGACATGAGTGTGTCCCCCAGGCCTACACATGAATGACAAATGGCATCCAAAGTCTGGTTTTGGGGATAGGGTACCTGACTGGCCCAACCGCTACTGTTAAAAGCACGTCCATGTCATGGCTACTACTCATTCTTCAAGCAAGAAAATTGGCTCCAGGAGCATCCATATGTTGCAAACCTGCTCTATCAGAGAACTGATACCCCTCCAAACCCAAGCACACAGCCCTCTCGATTTCAGAAGCACTTGAGATTCCCCATTGGCATCATATTCAGGGAGCAAAAAATGGGCAATGTTTTCCAAATCATTAATTTTTTTTAATATACTCTGTGAACAAATTTAGAGAGTGCGGGGGGAGAAGAGAAGACAGAAGTCCCATTCTACCACCTGTAAACTTCCAGGCGGGGAGCTATGTTCCTACATGCAATTAGCTGAATTTAAGCCTATTTTTTTCACTTAGTAAAAGATAAAAAAATGTAGGAAATAAATGAGCTGTGATGTCTTACATTGTAAATAGAACACAAAGCCGGCTTAAGCCAAGTGTTTTCAACAGATTTAAGCATACTTAATTCTATGTTAGAATAAATTGAAGCCAATGTATTGTATTACAGTAAATAATCAATATTTATGGCTAACAACATGGTCACTATGAATCAGCCCATGGAGAAACAGTTTCCAGAAGTAGCAGACTGGCAACTGCTGCGAAACTTGAATCCAGTCTTTATGCAAATGAACTTGCTGATTGTCCTTGCATCTACATGAGAAGCCAGACAGAAATTCATTATTCCAATTTCCACCTCTACCCCCTTGTCTAAGTAGATATAATTGTGTGGAGCAAAAAGCACATGGGTTATACGTCCATATATTTTAGATTATGATCCCAGGTAATTGAAAGATCTCTAATGCTTAATTCACCTTTTTATAAAGCCAAAACGTTCCCAGAATGTGCAACTAATAATACCAGAAAGAACCTACCCATTCTACATGGCACAACGAATGAAAAGGGTTGGGAAGGAAGAGGAAAAATGCAAACTCAGCCACCAACTCTAAACTAAATAGTAGTTCTCATAAGGTCCAGTTCACCGGAAACTGTTCAGAGAGAGCAGCAGGAA